GGCTGGCCACCGTCTCTGGGGCCCCCTTCATATACGCCACCAGCCGCTTCTCGCCCAGGGTGCGGGTCACGACGCTCATGCGCTGGAGACTTGAGGAGAAAGGGAACTGCACCAGGAGACCGATCTGATAGACCCTCTGCAGTGGGATTGGTGTGGGGGGGGCACACACGTGTGTGGGGAGAGGAGAGGAGAGGAGGAGCGTCAGGGCCTTCGAGAGGCAGGGAGGGAAAGAGAAAGAGGGTGCGGTGGGGTTTTTTTTTTGCCTCTGCTCACCATCAACTCCATGATCTCCTAAAAGGAAGGGAAGAAAGAGAGGAGTCAGAAGCTGGGGGCAAGATGGGGGTGGTCTATGGACTCCATTCCCCCACCCCTCCAAAAAAACAAAAAACCCAAACCCATCATGATCAGCAGCAGGAGCCTCAACCAGCCACGACGCTCAAGAATCAAGAGGGCCTGGATGGGGGGGGGGATTTCACGGCCACCACTTGCCTCCTCCTCCGGCGTGCCCTTCGGGGTTTGAGGAGGCACCTGGTCCGGCGGGTGGACGACGGTGGGCTGGATCTGGTCATGCAGGGCCGTCTCCTCCTGGGTGGGCTCTTCCAGGACCTGGGAAAACCAGGAAGCGATGCGGAGAATCAAACAAGACTTCCTCAAAGCCACACTTCCACAGTGGATTATTATTATTATTTTTCCTTTTCCGTTACGTTTTGAAAAAAAAGTATCACAGGGCGACCAGCCTGAGGGGGTCAAACCTGTTCAAGAAAGGTGGCCTGCGACTGTGAAAGCAATCACTACCACAAAAGCGAACACAGCTGGCCCTCAACAAGTTCCAGCTCCACCATTAATTAGGTCACTGCTTTCATCATGATGCAAACGAACGAACGTGCTACGACCACATCCTGTTGAGGGAACCTGGAGCAGGAGGGCGGGGGCTCCACGCGTTTCTGCGCCTCCCGCAGGCCATCCTTTGGGCAACGGGTCACAACCCCGTTTGCGAGGCTTGGGGTGCCACTGGCCGCAAAAGGACGGCTCCGGTGGGAGAGAAGGAATCCTTGCTCGGCAGCTCTTGCCCGTAGGATGGCTTCCCTTCCCCAACAGGATTCTGGCCTTCGTTTGCAATCCGTGACTCTGAAACTCGGAGGGCCAAGCAAGAATACCACAGGCAAGTAAGCTGAGCCTCAGGGGGGAAAATGCAGCCCCGAGGGGCCCCCTCCCTCCCTCCTCTGACTGTGGGGCTTGACCCCTCACAACACCTGATTCCTGGCAGACACAGGGATGGAGGCAGGCTGCCATCTGGCAGGGGCGGTTTTGCTCTGACATGCTCGGAGTAAAGAGGAGTCGCAGGCCCAGCCCAGCTCCCAAGGGAGCAGGGGAGACAGATTCCCCTCTCAGGATGAACCCCCCCTTCACGCCCACCCCTCCTCTGACTGTGGGGCTTGACCCCTCACAACACCTGATTCCTGGCAGACACAGGGATGGAGGCAGGCTGCCATCTGGCAGGGGCGGTTTTGCTCTGACATGCTCGGAGTAAAGAGGAGTCGCAGGCCCAGCCCAGCTCCCAAGGGAGCAGGGGAGACAGATTCCCCTCTCAGGATGAACCCCCCCTTCACGCCCACCCCCCGCCACCCAAGCTGGAACTCTGAAACATCTTGAGGTCCAGAGGGTCCCCCGAGAGTCGTCCGCCGATGGTGGTGAGCGAGTGGCAGGCGGCTGTGGCGGCCACAAAGGAGGAGGTGGTCAGTTCGGGCATGCGGAGGTCCTGTTCCGCTGGGAGGAAGCTGAGAGAAGAGAAGAGAAGGAAAGGAAAGGAAAGGGGGGGCAGTCACCCCACCCCTCTGGCTCTTAGGGGGCGTTCGAAGGAGTGGTGGAGAATCATGACGGCAGCCGGTGAGAGACTCATTGTGGGACACTTTAGAGAAAGGAGGGAGGGAGGGGCAGCAACCCTTCCCAATGTTTTGTATATTTGAAAAAACAAACAAGATCTAGAGTGGGTTCTGGATCAAGTCAAGGCTAAACTCTCACTAGAAGCGAAGATGACTAAACATCAGCAGCTGATTCTCAAGGTCCCACCAGAAGACAAGACTCAATGCAAATGACAACAACTCTGAGAAAAACTGAAAGCAGCAGGAAAACAAGTAGATGAAGTAAGAGAATACTCAGAATTGTTTTCCCCTTCCCTTCTGTTGGGGGGGGGGCGTCCCCAAGGCTGCGCAGCCGGCCCAAGCCCTTGACCAGACCTTATTAATCATCTATCCTGACCTGTGGTGCCCCTTCGAAGGGTTTTCCGGGTACAGCGAATCTTCAGAATTGGTTTCCCCTTCCCTTCTGTTGGGGGGGGCGCGTCCCCAAGGCTGCGCAGCCGGCCCAAGGCCACCCAGGCTGGCTCTTCTCCCAGGAGGGACAGGGGACCAATGAGATGAAAAAGGACCTGGAAGGGGCTGCAAATCCCCTTCCAATTTTTTTTTTGGGGGGGAAATAGCACTGTTTTTTGCATGCCTCATATGGTACAGGAGACCCTGGAGACCTATTTGAAAGATAGCTGGTCATGGCCCCTGCAAGCTTCCAGGTGCCACAATCTCTTCTCCAAAGGAGCAGGAGGCAGAGAGGATTCTGGGTGGCAAGCGCATCAGGGAGCTACGAGCGGTTCCAGGGTTGCCTTCCACGTGCCCTCGGATTAAGAGACCGGGCGCAAGGCCCTCCTTGCTCACTCACCCACCATCCTGTGCTCGTACAAAACCCCAGAAGTCCAGCCCGTCCTCGGTCAGTGTTCCAGTCTGCCAAAGAGAAACCAGGCCGGGTGAGCGCTCCTTCGCAGGAGGAGGAGGAGGTGCAGGGGGGACAGAGAGAGAGAGAGAGAGAGAGAGAGTTCTTCTCGCCTCCCTCGAGGTTCACAGGCGGATTTGGAGAACGGAAGGGAGCCAATACCTTGTCAAAGCACATCAGGTTGAGTTGCCCACAGATGTTGATGCGCTGGGGGCTGATGGAGAAGATCTGCTTCTCGCGCAGACGCCGCTGGGCATACACCACCCCAGCGGTCATGGCAGCGGGGAGCGCAGGGGGTACCGTGATGGTTAAGATGTCAAGGGATTCCAGCAGGATACGACCGACGGGTTCCTGGTTAGGAAAGAAAAACGGAGCAGGGTGGGCTGGATGAGACCTCCCTTCTTTTCAGCCGAACCTCTGGAAATGGCCCTTGGTTTGGTGGCTTGGAAGAGCCAACTCAGAGGCCAAGGCAGGAAATCCACCGGTGAAGCTTCCCTTAACGATGGCCTTCCCTCTTTGAAAATACCCAATGGAGGGAAAGACCATCCCCCTTTCCAGGGAGCCTCTTCTGTTGCCAAGCAGCTCTTAACCCCCCACCTCACCCCAGCCCTGGACGATCCTCCCCAAGGACTCATCGGAACCTCCTCTCCTGGACGTTCAAGCTCCTGCTTCACACGCTCCACCCAAGGGAGCTTCAAAAAGCTAGCGGCCTCCACCCACTACGGGACAGCCCTTCTCACACCGCCTCCTCTCCCAGCTGAACCTCCACCCGCTCTCCCCCCTCTGATGAGGCCTTGGTTTCCAGACCCCTTCACATCCTGACTGCCCTCCTCCAAATATCGCTCGGCAGACGCTCTGCTCGCCCTCTGTTTGCTTTTAAGGATAGAAATGTTGTAAAGGTCAAGGGGGGGTGACACCTTCACTGGACTGCTATAAAACTGTAAATGGCAGTCAGGTTTCAGTCCCTTTGGACCTTTGACGGGCTTGGCATCACAGAACAGCATACGAGGCTGAGAGGGCCCCATGCACCAGGAATGACTCCATAGCACTCAGCCTGACCGAGATCGGAAGCCGGCTTCTGTTTTGAGAATCCGCGTCATCACCGGCTCCTGCGTTTGGATCCGGTCCAGGTACCTTCACTGCTCCCCCCCCCCCATTTACGGCTAGGGCTATAAAAAGGCCACTGTTGGCCTCTGAAGACCAGGATAAGCTTCGGAGTGGATGAACGAACCACGACGCATCACTCACGGCAAGTGGCCCGAGGTGGCCAAGTCTTGAGCTTCCCCACCGGCAGCTGCCCTCAAGGGCAGGCCGGGCCGCTGGCTCCCTTGCTTTCTGGCCAACCCGTTTGCTGGGGATGTTTTCCAGACTTGGTCAGAAGGCCAACCGACCCCAGACGCCACTCACCGCTTGCTGCACGCTGCGGACGATGGAGTAGATCATGCCGATCCCAGCCACCCCCACCAGGCAGAGGAGGAACCGGTAGGCGTCTCTGTACAGGCGGAAATCGGTGGGCTTGGGGAACAGGATGGAGCAAACCAGCTGCCCTTTGGAGGTGGAGAAACCTGAGCAGAGAGGAGAGGAAAGGAGAGAGTCAGAGGCTGCGCTCTTCCGCGGAGTGACACCCCGAAGGCGAAGCAACAGAGCCTTTAGTGCCGTCTGGCCCGTTATGGCCAGCGCTGCCCGGAAGCGACAGCCTTGCAGGTCTGCGGGTGGGTTGTGCCTGCGCCGTCTGGAGCAGATGCCCCCCCTTCGGTTCCACGCCTCCTCTGCCCACGGCCACCGGCCTCGCCTGCAGCAGCTGCCATTACCTGTCCGGATGACCAGCGCCCGGACTGCTTCACCGGAGTAGTACCGCGTCTGGATAACGGACGTGCCGCAGAACAGCGTGTGACGCTTGTGCTTTTCGGGGTCGTAGGCTGGATCCTGGCGCGGCCCGTTGGCGCCTCGGGCCGGGTCAGGCAGGGCCGTCTTGGTGACAGGGATGCTCTCACCTGAGAACGAGAGGAGGCCGGCTCAGAAGGGAAGCCTGCCGTTTTCCTGATGTACGCTCCACAGAACAGGCATGCACCCCCACCCCTTTTTGTACCGGTCAGCATGCTCTCGTTAGCAATGGCTGTGCCGCTCAGCAACACCGCATCACACGGCACGGTCAGCCCTCCAGGAGGCACCAGCAGGACGTCCCCTGGCACCAGCTCTGTGGAAAAGATCTCCTCCGTCTCTGCGCAAGAAACAAAACAAAAACCAAACCCCAACGAGGTGAGATCCACAAGGGACGGTCCCACCACACGGCTCACAGCAAATTGGAAGCAGATCTCCTCGAAATATGTCTCAGTGGGAACAGCCCTTTTTCGGGGGTGGGGTGGGGTAGGGTGGGTAAACACTGCAAAAAGTTTTAACTATCCTAACTGATATCAGACCGAAGATGCTGTGGAAATTTCAGTCTATGCCGTATCTGGATACGGAGGGATTCTTCCAGGTTTGTTTTTGCCTGTGTGTGTGTTCTCCCTACGACGGGTCGATCAACAAGACAGCCGTAGCTAATTCCTGGAACACGCCTGGTCAGTGGGGAGGCGTTGCCGTCCACAGGAGTAACTTTTCCACACCCTTCTCCTGACCCTTCTGTCTGAGGATCCTGCCACAGGCTGGAGAGCGAGGGATTCCCCTTGGGCGCAGCTAAACATCCTTCTGCTCACTCAACCACCCACCCACCCAGGGTCCTCGCCCTCTTCCACTGTTCCCTGGGGTGGAAATGGCAGCGTTTCTTACTTCATCCTGATTCAGGACCACAAGGGGAAAGCCCAGATCCCGTCCTTTAGACCAACAGGGACGCAATTGAAATTCTGAGAACAACAAGGCTCCTATGAGGGATGGGAAGGGATGCAAGCCAGGGGAATCTCCCGCCCCCCTGTCAGCCAGCAGTTTGAGAAGGGCGCCAGTAGCCAGAGTGAGACCCTGACCTCATGGGCTGAGGAAGAAGACGGAGAAAAACCTCACACTCGGTTAGCGGCTGAGAGGCACCTGATGCTGGATCCTTGAAGTCCTTTGGTCATTCAACAGTTTGAACCGTATGTCACGAGGAAAAGCTCTCCGGCCGGCCTGCTGGCCTGCCTGCCCCTGGGCCCTCTGGGTTAGTCCCCCTCAGCGTCTCCCTCCCCATGCGCCTCGTAATCCTCAGCCCTCTCTGGTCTCCCCTCCTCTCCTGCTAAAAACCTCTCTCCCCCAGGTTGGTAACCACCACATCAGCCAGGTGCCCCTGCTGAAACAGCAAAAAAAACCCCCAAACTTTCAGGGTAGGATCTAGGGAACGGGGGAGCCACCACATCAGCCGGGAGCCCCTGCTGAAACAGCAAAAAAAAACCCCAACCTTTCAGGGTAGGATCTAGGGAACGGGGGAGGGGGGGGACATTGCTACAGACAGTGAGCACGAGAGCACAGGGCATTCCTGACAAGTCCTCTGCCCGCTCCTGTTTTAGAGGGGAGTGGGCCACCGACCGATGCTTGCATGAAGCCTGGCATCATGCGCTAACATCCGCACCACTCTATTCCGATGCCGGCCTTGGCAGTTCTATTTTGGATTGATAGCATGAGATCCCACGTGTGGCACCCAGGGCCCCTCGGCTCCCGCCCCTCCCAATGTGATGCTGTTCACTCACCGTACGGCCCCCTGCACACCGTCACACGGATGATGTTGTGGGCGGCAACCATGTCATGCAGCAAGACGTATTGCTGGGAAAGGGGAGAAAGGAGAGGAATCAGCGCCTCTGTTCCCCAGGAGGAGGCGCTCCAGAGGCCAAGGTCTCCCGCTGCCCCCTCCCGAAGCCCAGGTGCCCCCCTCCTCTCGGCAAAAGACGCACACGCCACCTTTGGCCACTGGCCTATGAGTCCCACTCCCCACCCACCTTCCGGATGGTGTAAAGCGAGGAGCAGATCGAGATGAGGGACATGAAGAGGATGGCCGAGGCATACATGTAATAGTCGTCCAGGGACCACAGCACCACGCAGAAGGCTTGGAAAATGTAGAAGGGGTTCAGCACCTGCCAGCGGAGGAGAGAGAGCAGAGGTGGACATGGCCGCCAGGTGCCAGAGGATCGGGGCAGGGAAGGCTGCCACTCGGCCACCTGCCCAGCATACTCCCTTCCCACGACCGGTGACCCTCGAGCCAGCTCACCGTTATAACTAGAGATGGGGACGAATAGGAAAAAAAGTGATTCGTTGTGATTTGCGATTCATCAACGTTAACGAATCAACAAATACTAATTTATGAATAATCTTCAATGATTCAATTCGTCAATTTGTTTTCACTTTTAAATGCTATAAAACTGCCCCCCCAAGCACCAAAATGTGCAGGAAAGCTTCCTCAGACAGTTTGGAAAGTCCAGCACGTTTGGTGAAGATAGGGTAATGGACCCCTGAGTTATATACTATAGTCAAAAGGAGGACACCCCCAGGAAAGTTCCCCCCAGGTACTTAAGAGATTCTAAATCACACTGAAGCTTCCTATGTCTTTCCCCAACATGCCTGCCAAGTTTGGTGATAATTGGGTATCAGTTATTCGCCTACAAATTGGGTCCCCCCCCCCAAGGATAGTTTACTATACGGCACAGAAGCAGATGGCATTCATGACTATAGTCAAAAGGAGGACCCCCCCAGGAGGGTTCCCCCCAGGTACTTAAGAGAATCTAAATCACACTGAAGCTTCCTATGTCTTTCCCCAACATGCCTGTCAAGTTTGGTGATAATTGGGTATCAGTTATTCGCCTACAAATTGGGTCCTCCCCCCCAAGGATAGTTTACTATACGGCACAGAAGCAGATGGCATTCAGGGAGTTTGATTCGTTTCTGGCAGGCACACAGAGGCGGCAGGAGGGATGGAGGTAGAGTTTGTCTTCACCGACATCACCGTCGGCAGTGAAGCAAAGTTTGCCCCCCAGGAGGCAATGAGGCAGGAGGCAGCAACGTAGACTTTTTGCCTTCCCCCCTTTCTCTGTGCCCTCGCCGGGCATAGAAAGGGGGGGAAGCCCGATCCAAGGCATCATCCAGCCCCGTGGGTGGGTTTCCCTTCTGGAAACCGCTGGGAGGCCAAGTCCCTCTCTGCTTATGCCTCCGAGGAACAGATGATCCACGGGGGGGGCATAAACAGACAGGGAACGAAGGGAGGAATATAAAAGGGTTACATTCGTAGCTTCGTATTCGTCTGGGTCTCTGGACTCCAAGAATTCAAAGCAACGAATATCTGACAAATCAGGGATACTCGCTGAATATCCCTGATTCGTTTTTATATTCGCCCCCATGTCTAGTTATAACCCAGCCCAAGGCCGAAGCCAAAAGTTATTTACATTCCTTGCAAGACTGGTCATCAGGTTGCTGTTCCTTCCCACACTTTTGAAAAAAGAGCAGCTTAGACCCCATAAAAGGCTGGCACGCCGCTTCCAAAAATCCTGCCCAAGCCTCTTCTAGGAGCTGCCTTCCACCCTCCTTGAGAAACGGTCGGTCACAACATGGAGGCCGGGCCCTCCCTCCTCATTGCATGGCTTTGGAACGGCTGACTCCGACAGACTCCGGCTCACTGCAGGCAACGGGGGGGAGGGGGGGCCTTCCCGCCTGCTGTTTCCACACCCAGGGGGGCAGCCGGGGCTTCCCTGGGACCTCCACCCAGCCTGGCCTCAGCGTCCCACGGCTCCGCAAACTCACCTCCTTGATGAGGAGTTTTAGGATGGAAGGCACTTGTACGTCAATTTGGTTGGCTCCGTAGAAAAGCCTCCTGAAGGGAGAGAGAGAGAGAGAGAGGACGGGGGCCCGTGGGGATGACCGGAGAGGGATGCCCGCCGGCAGCTGTTCTCTCCAGCCCTTTTGCGGGTGGAAGAGGCTGGCAGCCCCACCACCCCTGGGCTCACACCCTCGTGTCGCCGTTCAGCCCTACTCACCGGTAGTCCTGGGTGCTGCGAGGGAGGCCGGACCCATGGAGAGTGTAGAGGGAAGAGAAAGGGACCCCAGAGTCCAGAGCCCGAAGCCGCTGGAAAGACTGGGATTCTGCATTCCACAGGTAACGGGTATTGTGGTGCACGAAGAAGCGGACCTGGAAGAAGAAGACGGCCCTTGACTTTGATCTCCCGTCCTTACGACGAGGTCTTCCTGTCTGCTCCAGAGAGGGAGCGCCGCCTGAGCCAGGCCACGTCCCAGCAGCCCCTTGAACGAAGGTCGGCCTGGAAGAGAATGCCTGACCCCCCCCCAATCCACCAGGGCATTCCACAAGACCCCAAACCAGGATTCTCCGAGTCAAGGGCGAGTCCGCCCCATCCGGGCCCCCGTGGCGGTGCTCTGGGGCACCTTTTCCTTCCTGGCAGGAACATAGAGAAGGACCGGACGCCGACCCTTTGCTCCTGCCCTTGGCTCACCTCTGCCTGCTCCCCCCAGGCGGGCTGGGACAGCAGCCCCTCTTCACAATCCCAGTCCTCAGGCTGGCCCTCCCGGTAGGGGGGGCGCTTGCTCTCCGACAGCTGGGAGAAACCCAGGGGATCCGATCCCGGGGCATAGAGAGAACACACTCGGATCCTGGACCACGTCCGGAACTCGTCCTGTGGGAGGAAGGGACAGGGAGGCTCAGCAGCCACCCCGAGCCTTGAAGAGGCAGCCGGATCTCCTCTGCTAGGCAAGCCACGTGGCAAAACCAAGTGGTCACTCCTGGGAAGCCACGTTGCAAAACACCCGAGAGAAAATCTCTCCCAGACACTGGAAGGAACCCAGGAAGACGAGCCCCCATCCACACACACACACACACACACACCCCAGGGAGACTTCTGGCCCACTGAGCTCCACGTTAGGGACACTGCCTAGTGGCAGGGGCTCTCCAGAGGTCTGGGGCTGCTGGACGAGGGATTGCAACAAGGTCCCTCCCCCCCATGTCATGGCCCACCCCGGGCTCAGGAACCTGGGGGCCCCACCGACGCACCGTGGTCCGCAGCAGCAGCACCCAGGCCTCCTGCAAGGGCACAGCCCGGCAGGTCCACTTGACGCTCAGCTCCGGCAGCCAGTAGAGGAAGAGGAGCAGGAACCCCGCACTGCACACCGCGCCCAGCGAGACCAGCGCCAGCTTCCAGCAGCAGGGGCTGTACCCAGAGATTTCCTGCGCAGGGAAGGAAGGCAGGCGAGAGTTGGGGCCAGCCGGCAAAAGAGGGGGGGGCACTTCTCCAAGCTGCAAGTACCCTCCCCCCTCTTCCTTTCATGGAGAAAGCCCACCAGCTTCCCCGGGGGAAGAGGGCATGGTGGAACATGGAAAAAAAACCCTGGGCCCGGGGGGGGGGGAGACACACACACGGAAGCAGGTCCTCTTCCAGATTCCAGACCCATCACTGCTCCCTTGCCCCACCCAGGCCCCCAATTAAACAGGAGACAAGGAACAGCACTTGGGAGGCTGGGGCACTAAACAGGGATGGCTTCCGTGCAAAGCGCCCGCAAACCAGCTCTGGTGCCCGTGGCCAATGCCTGGGCGACACGCCAGGCCTCTCCATCCCTACATTCTCCCTAAGTGTCTCCAGCAGCTGCTGCTTTCCCCCCGCCCCCCAGCGCCATATCTCAGGTGGATCTCAGGGCTCTGATCCAAGCCCAGGGAGCTCCTCCCTGCCTCTCGGAAGCTGCCCCACCCGGCCCGCGCCGCCCGGGAACAGGGCCTCCCAAAAGTTGCCAGCAGGAGCCTCTCCAGGAGGGGCTGCCCGGGACGGGGGCTTCTGCGGGCAAAGGTGGGCAGGATCCACAGGAAGGGAGAGGCAGGGACTGTTAGCGGGTGGGAAGGAGACCCACCGAGGAGGGGGACATGATTCACTCCTCTCCTCCAGCCATGACCTCCCACCTCTCACTAGACCCCTAACTTGAGGCAGGTTAGCCAGTGGGAGCCTCTGGGACCCTCCACGGGGTCTCCTAAACTCATCTGACCCCCCCCACACACACACACCAGGTGACCAGCAAAGAAAAACCTGGCGGAACAGATAGCTGTCCTTCCTGTGAGCTTTCCAGCTTTCATCTCAGGGTCTCCAGCAGCGGCTGGCGGAATAGGAGATGGGAAGGGGCTGAGCCAACCACGGGGGCCTGGAATACATGGGAGCGAAGCCCCCCAGCCCACTGACCATCTCGTCTTCCTCGTGGCGGTTCACGTATGCCTCGCCCGCTCTCTCCATGTCTCCTTCCTGTGGGTCACGCGCCTACCCCACCGCCAAGCTCCTGAGGAACCGAAAGAGAGAGAGAGAGAGAGAGGAGCAAGAGGCTAAGTGGTGGGTCAGGCCTGACAGGCGCTTGCTGTGAAAAGTGGCTTCCTTGGACTACAAGTCCCAGAATCCCCACCCCAGCCCTGTTACCAAGGCGCAGGAAGTCAAACAAGGGTTCCACAGACCGTCCTTTGCTCTCGTCTTCTCCCCCCCTAAACACACACAATCTCCATCCCAGCATTCCCTCCTGGCACTCACCGCCCCGCACTTTGCTGGGCCCCCCCCCCCTTGGCCAGGCCATCTTAGCCCCCCCCTCCACAGCACCCCCCCCAAGACCACGAAGCCTCAGCCACCCCCCTGGGAGCAGAGGCTATTCTCGGCTGTGAATGCCGCTCCCTGTTGTCCCCTGAAGCTGTGTGGTTTCTGCCCTGCTGACCACAGGGCCGTGGCTGGCGCGCACGAGGCCTCACTCGAAAGCCAGCCCCTCGGGCAGGGGAGGAACCGGGGGCGGGCGGGGGGAACAGCCCGGCTTTTGGCACCAGGAGGGCCCCGTCAACTTACGGCAGCTTTTGTCACTGTGTCAGCTGTAAGGCCCCGGATCCACGGGCCACATCCAGGACGGAGAGGTTGGCAGCCTGCTCAGGAACTGGAGGAAGAAAGGGGGGGTTGAGAGAGAGAGAGAGAGGCCAGATTGAGTGGCGCTTTTCTGGTGGGAAGGCGACATACACGCACGCACACACACATGCATAGACAGAGAGACCCTCAATCAAAGAGACAAATGAGCGAGCCAGCGAGTAAAGGAGGCAGATGCACTTCTTCAGAACGCTCCCTGTGGCCTGCGGGCAGGGTGGGAAAGTGGACACCAAGGGCCTTTGCTCAAGCACTGGGGGGGCGCAGCGCCTGGGGGGGCAGGCGGTGTGGGAAAACCTATGGCCAGTCAAAGTGCACCGCTTTCTAGGGAAGAGGGATTGGCTACTTTGACTGGCCAGAAATCCCAGACTCCTGAGCACCCGAATCTCCGGCGCATGCGCCTCACGCCGCCCTTCTCCACCATGTGTGGACCCGATGCTTCCCCACATGTCCAGCTCTTCCGCTGTCCTCTTAGGACAGAACAAATGTCTCCCAGTGAGCGCTGACCCCCAGCTGGGCTGGCTTCCACCTTTCCTAGAGGCACGAAAGCACGTTTCAAAAGAAGGGAAAAAATTACGAGACAAAGAAGGCAGAGCAGCTCAAGAGACCTGTAGTTCCTGGGAGAAGCCACAAGAGCGGCTGGGTAATTCTCTCAGGGTCTAACTCTGAACCAAATGCCAGGAAAATCTATAGGACTCCACAAAAGCCAGCATAGGAGTGCTGGGGGGGGGAAAAAAAACACCAACCAGCCCACCAACAGCCGTCACGTCCGTGGGGGTGTCAGTAAAAAAGTAGGCGGGGGGACAGAAAGGGGGGCAGAAAGGGAATCTCCAAAAGGCCTCTCTAAACGTTTGGTGCCGATGCATTTATGCCTCTCAGCCGTTCCCCAGTTTTTGCCGACTCTTGACGGGACAAGCATCCATTTCCCCCCTATTTCTTTTCTTGTCAACTTCCCTTCCTCTTTCTCACAAGGCCCTGCCGACTTTAGCAGAAATCTAACTTCCTCAGCGGTTCTGCTGAGAAGGCCCGCTTTCCTCAACCAAAGTTTTAGGCCGTCGCTCCGGGCCTTAGGGGCTGTAGTTTCCTTCACACGTTCCAGAAAGTCCCCACGCAACTCTCCTCCGAGAACAGGACCCTCTTCTCCCGGCGGGTGCCGACCTCCAACCGGCCAGCGTCCACCTTAGGCACACCTTCGGAAGAAGGCAAAATCAAGCAGGCGAGGGCGGGGGACGGAGTTATCATCACCTCGACGCCACACGGCGACTGGCCAGGCTTTTCTGCAAAAATAACCCCGAGACACAGGCCGACAGACAGGCAGACCGTTCTGCAAAGAGACTTCTCAGCACCTTCCCAATCCGCAATTCCCAGAACATTTGGGAGAAGCCGCAAGAGCGACCGTGTAATTCCCTAAGGCGGCGGTCTCCAACCTTTTTGACTGGTTGGACTGGTTGTGGGAGGACCTGACCGATGGCTTGCCTTTGGTTATGTGACTTATTCATCCATACCTTCTGGTTCTGGGACATTTTTCTAACAACTTCAGTTACTTTGTGGACAGAGGAATCGGGCCCCCTCACGCCACTCTTTCAGGCTCAGGTGCCCCCCCACACCCCCTCTTTGCCCCAAGAGCCTGGCAAGGCTGCGGGCCACCCCACCCATGCGGGAAATAAGAAGAGGAGGGGGGGTTTCCTCCCCCTGTGGCTGAGGGCCTCCTGGACGGCCAGCTCAACCGGAGGGGGGACCCTTTCCCTTCTCCGGCTGGGGCCTCCAGGCCAGAGGAACCCGCCGTCTGCTCCCACCTGGGGGGGGGATCAGATCCTGCAAAGCTGGCCGTGGCAGTTTCTCTCTGCGCACCGAGAGGAGCTGCGGGGCAGGGAGTGGGCCCGATCCCAGAGCCTGTCCCCATGTGACCCAGCACACCTCTTCCCCCTTCCCTGTGTGGGCACCTGACAGTCCCCCCCCCCCCCCGCTTTTTAGGCAGGTGAGACACACAAAGGGTTTCATACAGTGGCCTTTTGCAGTGTGTGTGTGTGTGTGGGGGGGAGGTATGAGTGGAAAACCGAAGGCCAAGCCAGACCCATCTTTCCAGACTGGCAGGTTTAAGCAGCAGCCTGTCTGTTTGGCAAATAAAACCCATGATCCACGTTCTGAGCTTCCTGGTGCTGTGGGAAGGAGGTATGCACACACAAGCGCATGTGGCGAAGGGGAGGGGTGAGCACCACACCGCACTGATCTCCAGGTCACCCCACCCACCCGGATCCTGGTGTCACACGAGGTGGACCTTCGGAAACGCTGCCAGCTGTTTCTCTCTCTCTCTCTCTCACACACTTGCTGCCAGCTGTTTCTCTCTCTCTCTCACACACACACACTTGCCCTTTGGATTTGAATGAGGTTCAAGTGCAACCAGATTCAAGCCCGCCCCGTCTGGGTCCCACCGGCAGAGAGAGGGGTAGCTGCTTGTGACTTAGTCGGCTGGAGGCCAACGGAGCAGCAGGACACGGGGGGGGAGGGGGGGAGGAGGTGGTGATAAAGGTCTCTGGGGATTCCAGGGCAGAATCCTTTCCTGGCTCAAGAACAACTCTAAGGCTTGCTCCCGGCTGAAAAAGCGGGAGCAGATAAACTAACCCTTGGCACCTAGCAAGCATAGCCTGCCGGAAAGAAATCCTCCCCCCCCCCCCCGGGAAATGCAGGGCCCCAACGCTGGAAGAAGGCTGGCAGAGAAGTCCCTGTTGAGCTGGCTGTGAGAGGATTAACATTCCCAAGGAATGACCCCCAAAGGCAAATATTTCAACGGAAGGAAGGAGCCTGAGCCTCTGGGGGCCTGGGATCCCCCCCCCCGCTACCCTGGGCCCAGAGCCTGAAGCAGTTTTAAACTGCCCATTCGGCTTGTGCAATCCATTTCCTGGATCAGGAAAAAGCCAACAAACCAAGCAAGCTTCCAAATCCAACGGGCCTCTTCTTTGCCAGGTGCGCGTGTGCTGTTAAAACTGGAGGGGGGGACTGAAGGGGAAGCAAGAAGTCCCAGGATTCAAAAAAGCATGGCTAGACATCTTTCCCGCCACAGCCCTGGGAAGCAGACTCTCACAGCAAGGGGGCCTTGGGGCGTCCCAGGATAAAGGAAGGCACCACGGATCGATTCTGCTGGCTGTCTTCCCCCTCCCTGCAGAGTTTGGAGCAGACCTGGCCACGTCCTCCCTCCTCGGTCACACGTGGCTCCCCCCGGGCAGCGGCTTTCCACCATCACCAACCCCCCCAACTCCTCCTGCTGCTGGAATTGAGGCCCAACTCCCATGCAGGCAGGCAGGCAGGCAGCACCTGCGTTTCCAAGCACTGCTCTATCTGAAAAGGTGCAATGAGCCAGCACAGAAGAGGGCCCACGCCGCCCTTGAAAGGGAACACGCGCGCACCCTGGCATACGTGCATGTCCTGCTACCGGGCACAGGCCAGAGCGGAGCAGGAGCTCCTCAGGTTCCAATCCCCTCACAACAGGCCATGTGAGACACTCGCTGTGGGACACTTTGGAGAAGGGAAGGAGGGGCAACGGCCCCTCCCAACAGTTTTTATTTTTTTTAAAAAAAATGCATGCACGAAAACAAGATCTAGAGTAGGTTCTGGATTAAAATCAAGGCTAAACTCTCCCTCGAAGCGAAGATGACGAAACATCAGCAGCTCATTCTGGGGGTCTCACGAGAAGAAAAGACTCAGTGCAAACAACAATGTCTCTGAGAAAAACTGAAAGCAGCAAGAAAGCAAGTAGCTGAAGTAAGAGACGGATTCAGCCACAGCCTTGCCTTTGCCAGACCTGACTGGAGGTCCTTCAATCACAGAGTCTCCATTAAACTGGGAGCACCTAACGGGCTATGATAACGACAGCCCAGCCAGGCACGGCCAGAAACACATTTTTAATTTTGCAAAAATGTTGTGTGTTTCATGTTTAAGAGAAGATGGGGTAACACTTCGCAATGCTTAGCAGGACAGTGGTATTATGTCCAGAAGGGTCCCAGGACCGGCATGCTCCTTTCCTTCCATCCAAGGTGTCGGGGATAAAAACACCCCGGGGGGGGGAACCACACAGGGCACCTGGCTTCTTCCCGGGGAGGGAAACCGTGTGACGCCCAGCAAACGTTGGGACCCCCCTGCCAAGGAAGGACCCCCTCCAGCCCTTTTCTTGAAGGAGGCTGAGGAAAGCACGGAAGGCATCCTCCACCCATCCCGGAGAGGAGCCGTTGCTTCTCCGAGTGGGCGAGGCGGGTTCAGCCTCTTGGGAAGGACCCCCGTGGGAGGCAGTTTCCTTTAAGGCCTTATCCTTCATCTGCCGCTCAACGGCTTTTCCTCCTGGGCAGAGAGGCAGCACAGGACAGTGGTATTATGTCCAGAAGGATCCCAGGACCGGCACACTCCTTTCCTTCCATCCAAGGTGTCAGGGATAAAAACACCCCGGGGGGGGGGAACCACACTTTCCACAGCACTACTCAGTGCCCTGTCTCCTTCCTTCCCAACATTAGACTAACAAGTCTCCACCCTCTGCAGTCATTCATTTGATCTCAGCACGTCTCTATGTCGGAATCTCCACCCATCCCGGAGAGGAGCCGTTGCTTCTCCGAGTGGGCGAGGCGGGTTCAGCCTCTTGGGAAGGACCCCCGTGGGAGGCAGTTTCCTTTAAGGCCTTATCCTTCATCTGCCGCTCAACGGCTTTTCCTCCTGGGCAGAGAGGCAGTTAAACCCAGTTAAACTCAAGCTGCTGCGTGTGCCGGAAACCCTGCTCCTTCCTTCCCTGGGTTGAACTAACCGCCCGCCATTTCCGTGCCAGAACACCTGGCTTTTCTGGGTCAAGGTGTGTAGATGAGAGCAAGATGGCAGGACAGCAAAGGTGGGAAGAGGCAAAGGTGGGGCCCGGCAAGTCAAGGCAGGAGCAGCAGCTTTGCTTCTCCCCCCCCCACTGCTCTCTCTCTCTCTCTCTCTCTCTCTCTCTCTCTCTCTCTCTCTCTCTCTCTCTCTCTCTCTCTCTCTCTCTCTCTC